CAAGTTCATTACTCTGAAGATGATCAGTCTGGACAGCTCTGCTTGCTCTGTGTGCCCCTGGGCCTGTCTGTTCACAATGAACATCCAGAATGTGACCCTTTCTCAAGTCAGACCCCAAACCCAGAGGGCTCCCCCCACTCCTGTCCCTGAGCTTCTTGGAGCCCAGAATATGTGTAGGTCTGGTTAGGGCCCATCTCTGTGGCCACCCGCCTGCCCCGCCCCTCCACCCCCCACCCCCCACCCCCCACCTCCCACTCCACACACAACCCCCATCCCCCTTACCCCCTACCCCTGCACCCTACTAGTTTTCCTGCCTCAGGTTGGTGATAAGATCATATCACCAGGCTGAACCCGGGGAGCACTTACATCGGAGGATTGTAGATTTTCTTACCTTTCTTTTTTCCCTTTTATCTCTTTTTTGCTGCTTTCACTTAATAATGGCCCTATTGATACATTCCTACATTTCAGGGTACAAAATTTAGACCTCATATGAGGGGATGCACTGTCCTTCACTTGTTCACTTGGGGGCAGCTCAAATTTTCCTTTTTCTTTTTTTAAAAGTTGAGCCTAAAAGTCAAGAACTCTAGAATTCAGGGCAAAAGACATAAGGCAGAAGACAAGCCTTACTTGGAGAAAATTCTAGTCTCTTAAGTCAGCAATGTGGGGGAATAGTAGACCATGATTTGTGTCAAGGCAGTCTGAGCAAGGTTTGGAAAAGACTTTCCAAACACAGAGTATTGCAGAAAGGAAAGAGTTTATTAAGAATAAAGAGCAGAGACAATGTGGGCACTGGAAGCACAGCAGGCCAACCCCTCTTGACAGGCCAGGGAGAGCCCACGGGGCACTGTTAGAATAGCAGGCTGGCTCAAGGGAGAGCCGACACTTCTCATGGGCAAGCAGCCAATCTTTATAGCCTCAAGAAAAAGAAAATCCCTGCTGGAAGGCTGGCATTAGGTGATTGGATAGGGTGCTATGGGGTGGGTACTGGGGTGGGCATTTTTTGCCTCATGTGGGGTCAGGAAGCTTGTTGGTGATGATCAAGGACATGGCAATGGTTGGCAATGGTTATGAAGGGTCTCAGTCAGTTCTGGAGGTGACCTTGGTTCTGGGCTCCACTGCAGTGGCCTCAGAATAGGACTCCACAGTTTGCTCTGTAAATCTGCACCACAACAAGTCTTGTCTTGGCCCCAAAGTGTCTCCATTCTGCTTTAAGTTCTTCCTAGTGTATGTGCCTGGAGTGGCAAGGTGGGGGAGATTGCATTCTGGGCTCTTTGCACAGGCTGAGCCACCCTGAGAAAGCTGACGAATCGCTGAGACAGAGCTGTAGATCAGGGGATGCTGGGGGTGAATGGGCTTTCCCTGGATTTTTAGCAGGGCTTGATCCAAAGGCCCAGAAATTGAAGAGAACATGGCTAGAAGCTACATCTTGGTGATATATAGTGATTTGAAGACGTGTGCAAAGACAATCATGAGAAGGAAAGTTAAGAGTGCCAGCTTTACAGTCAGTCACACTCAGAGTCTAGTTCCAGACCAACCTCACTTGCTGACTGACTCTGGGCAGAGGGTCTGATTTCTCTGAGTCCCATCCCTCACTACAGATTTGGGGTGTGCACCATGCCTGATGCCAAGAAGGCCCCCATATGCCTTCTTCCTGACTGATACTCTGCTGTGGATTCAGATGGATGAACATGCCAAAGAGGCCATGGTCCTTGTAGGGAGGGAAAAACTTCTCCCCTACCCTCTTAGAGTCCCCAGCTGGGCCTAAAAATTAAACAGACAAAACACAGAGTAACAGGAGAAAAAATCCACATTTTATTAAAATTTTACATGTAGGGATTTCCCTGGGGGTCCAGTAGTTAGGACTTGGTGCTTCCATCCCTGGTCGGTGATCTAAGACCCCACAGGCTGCATGCCCCACTCCAAAAGTATTTTACATGTACCTGGGAGACTTCACAGGAAAATGAAGACCTGAGAAGGTACCTAGAGCAGAAAGCTTATACACCTTTTAGACAAAAAAATGATAGATTTGTGAAGAAGTGACAAGGCCAAGGGCGTTGGGTTAGGGACAGTGAATTGTGGGGAAGTGACTGGGAGCGATATGGGGCAAATCTAAGATAAGGGTTATTTTAGTAAAGTGTGTCTGTACAGATCCATTTTAGCATTGACTTCCTCTCTGGTGATAAGGATGTTCTCTCCCTGGTACATGGAGGGCATCTCTCTCCCGAGAAATTTTATGGCCTATTTTTAGGTAGAAAAGGGCAGGTACATCTGCTGTTTCTCAAGCACCTTCCATTCAAAATAGTGAATGTATCAAAGTGGCATATTTTGGGGTGGCATGTCCTGAATTCTCTCCTCTAAACACATGTTTTCTAAGTGGTCACCTGCAGAAATTGCTTATCTCATGCTCCCAAGTCCTCTAATACTTCCTGACCAAGTTTATAGGAGAAGAGTTTGGCAATAAAGGGTGAAGGCTCCGGAGCCAGATTTTTGTGTTCAAATCCCAGTTCTACCAATTACACATGAGCTACATGACCTTAGGAAAGTTTCCTTATTTGTGAGATGGAGTAAAAGTAGTAGTACCAACCTCAGAGATTGTTTGAGAATTAAATGAGTTGATACGTGTTGCTGGCACATAGCAAGTTCTCAGTAGTGTTACTGCTTATATTGATATATCAATAGTAGCTGATAAAATGACCAGTCCATCCATTTCTTGGTGGCCAAGTATGGAATATAACTGAAGCCCCGGTGACACAAAGGTGAGCAAATTGGTTCCTGCCTCCTAGCAGCTCCTGGGCCAGTGACCAGACCTATAGACCATGGCAAGTCAGGGCTTCCATGGGAAAGGACATGGGTGGAGGGGAGGGGAGGGTCCTAGAGGAGAAATGAGATGGAGTCGGGCCAGGAAACAAGCAGCTCTGAGTCTTGAAATATGGGATGGAGTTAGTCTGGCTGAGGGGAGAAGGGAAGGCTGTCCAGACAGAAAGGGTAACAGGAAGAAACAGGAGGCAGTTTGGCAAATAAAATACAGGTATTTTCCAAAAATTATGTGAGTGCTCTCTGTTCTGGGCACTAAGGAGAATATTGTGAATAGACCAAGTTCTGTTCTCATTACAATAAACTGAGCTTTATACCCCACTTCCCTGTTTTATTCTTGTTACCTGCAAGGTACCCTTACTACTTGTCAACTGAATTCAGAATAACAACAGGAGAGCTGTGAGTTTCCGTTTTCCTTGTGGACTTACTGAGGATGACGGCCCATGAGACAGCCTCTCAGAAAGCTCTGTGGAACTGCTCCAAAGAGCTAAGGTGGAGGGGGGAAAGTCAGCATATCCATGATTCTGGCAAAGGGGCTAAGTGCAACCAAGCCCACATCTCAATAAAACGTGGCTGCTAGTCATGAAGAACACATGTGTTACTTAGTAGTTTTAGTGTTTTTCTAAGAATGGGATGATGCAAGAGTTCAGGTTCATAAATCTCCCTCCTGAAAATATCTTAACTATCTGAACGCCTGTTCTGCCATTTTCCCAGAGCACAGAATGCCTCAGCCGCCATCTCTGCCCTGAACTCCTTTCAGGGTATGCTGAAGGTCAGCAGCTTCAGGGGCTAGTGACTTCATTCTTATAGAACCAGATGGTGAGCAACATTTTTTTTTTTAAATTGTCATACTCCAACCTCCCTTCTACATTTGGGCTAACTGGGGAGAGACAAATCTGATAACTTGGCCAGATCCTTAAAGTTCCCAAGGAGCAGAGCTGGGGTTGACACCACGGAGCCTGACTGCAGAGTCTGGTCTTAAACCACTCTGCCGCCCTCAACGAGCCTGCTGACGTTCTCAGGACCTAGGACCTATTGCGGGAGCTACAGGTGGATTTTCTTGGCTGGAGGAGGAGTCAACCATGGCAGAGAGACTATGACCAGTAGTTTGTGATGGGCCTTGAGTGCCAGCCTTCCAGGCACAGAATAGCCTGGAAAAGGAAAGGTGGCGAGGGTTGGACATAGAAAGAACACCTCATGGAAAGTGTGGCAAGAATCTGGGCCAGAGATGACAATGCCGCCCTGGGATGCCGGGCGGCTACGGGATGCAGAGAAGGGGTCAGCTTCTCGCAGGGCCAGGGGCGGTGGCAGAGGAGGCCGGCCTGGGGTGGGAGGTCGCCGGCGCCCGGGCCGGCCAATGGCGGCGGGCTGGGCCGCAGCCCCTCCCTAGGGGCGGGGCGGGCGGGGCGAGCGCTGCGGGCTCGCCGGGGTACCCGCGCTGCCGCATCCCTGCCGAGCTCCTAGCGCCGGAGGTCCGCCCACCAAGCAGCTCTCGCTCCGCAGCCTCGAGGCAGACCCCGGCGAGGCCTGGCAGGTCCAAACCGGAGCGCAGCTCGGTCCAGTTGGGGTGCGTGAAGGGCGGGGAAGGGGGTGGCTCAGCTCGGTCCCTCCGGGGTGGGTGGAGGAGGACTGGGACGTCGGATTTGGTTCCAGCCCCGGGGGTGGGGGTGTTGACCAGTTCTCTGATCACTCAAGATGGGGGATCTAATAGGGTGGGAGTAGGGTCGCGGCAGCAGGACTGCGCTCTGATCTGGTGGAGAACGGAACAGGGCTCAAACCCGGGACCCAGGCGGGGTAAGGGAGCGTGGAGGGCGGGGGGAGGGCCCTGGGGGGAGATAGGTGTAAGCGTAGGGGCGCCTGGGTTCTGTTTCCCGCAGGAGGGAGCTATCCCGGGGGGCCGTAGTAGAGCGCGGCTTGTGCTCCAGTATGGGGGTGGGGGTACGGAGAGGATCCGGGCGCGGGGCTGGGGTGGGGGTGGCGGTGGGCTTCCCGGTCTGGGGATGCTGCGTCCTCCGGAGACTCGGTTTCCTCCTTTCTGGGGGTGGGTGCGGGGAAGCGGGGCGCCGGGGGCGGGCCAGGCTGTGAGAGCCGGAGGCGGCGGGGCGGGGCGGGGCGGCGGCGTGGGCGAGCTGGTGGTCGGCGCGCCTCTGACCGCATTCTGGGACGCGCAGGCGGCGGCGGCGGAGATGCGGCGGCTCGGGGGCACCCTGCTCTGCCTGCTGCTGGCGGCGGCGGTCCCCACGGCCCCCGCGCCGGCTCCGACGGTGACCTCGGCCCCGATCGAGCCCGGCCCGGCTCTCAGCTACCCGCAGGAGGAGGCCACTCTCAACGAGATGTTCCGCGAGGTTGAGGAACTGATGGAGGACACGCAGTACAAACTGCGCAGCGCGGTGGAGGAGGTGGGTGCGCCCGAGGGGCCTGTGCTCCGGGAAGCGCGAGGTGGGTGATAGTGGGGGCTGGCGAAGCAGTGCCCCAACGTCTGGCCAGGGTCCTCGGGTCCGCTAAGGGGCTGGGCACAGCCGGCAGCAGATTTCGAGTTATCTAGAGGCAGTGCGGTAGTGATCCCAGATCCCACCTGGTTCCTGCCAAATGCTCTGGATCTGAGGCTGTCCACCCAGAGACACCGGCTGGATCCACCCATGGACAACTGGGGTCACCACCTGCTTGCAGGCTGCCGGCCATCACCTTACAATTAATTTCAGGTGTGCAGTTGGCCTCATTCTGTTTTAAGCGGATGCTTGCAAGGCCCCTGATATTCCAGCACTGTGATTTTGCAGAAGAGGCTCCAGGTATCTCAAGTCCTAGCTTGTCTGTTGGTCTTTGAACTTGTGCCATCTTCCCAAGAGACAATTAGGGTGCCATTCAGTTCAGTCGCTCAGTCATATCTGACTCTTTGTGACCCCATAGACTGCAGCACGCCGGGCTCCCCTGCCTGCCCGTCACCAACTCCTGGAGCTTGCTCAAACTCATGTCCATCGAGTGGGTGATGCTATCCAATCATCTCATCCTCTGTCGTCCCCTTCTCCATATGGGGGCAGAAAGCCCTGAGCTGTGCTGGTAATCTGTCTGGGCTTCCCCAAATGCCATGTGGGGCAAAGAAGGAACCTGGGAGTCTCCATCAGTGTCAGTGAGTGGTGGGTGAGAGGAGCAGGGGCAAAGTGAAAGGCCACCCCCCACTGCGTTTCCAAGGGTGCTTTGGAGTCAATCCTGGGCTCAGGGCCCTCCTCTGCCATTCATCTTAGGGTGGCATTGGCCAAATCCCTTAACATCCTTTACCTCAGTTTTCCATGAGAATTCAATCTGTGATATGTGTGGCACCTGGAGTACAATAGATGTGCATATATAGCAGCTGTTAGTTATCAGATACCAGACATCTTGGGAAAACTTTGCCTGTTTCTTGCTTCCATTGCCTCCCAGATCCAAACACTGTGGATGGCATCCACTGTGGTCAGCATGCAAGCATTGCCAGGGTTGCCTGGAGAGAAGGTGCAAGTGGTCCAGCTCTCCCAGCCGGGGGGCCCTGCTGCCTGGGGTGGGTGGGCGTGGCTCCTTTGGGCCTGACTCTGGCTGCAGCCTGCCTTTGGAGAGAAGCCAGCCATCCCAGGGAAGGAGTCAGTGAGAAATCAGATGTCTAGGCTGGTAGGTCAGGTGCCTCCATGTCCCTGCTTTTCCACACTGCATTTGGGCAAAGCCTCCAAAGCTGGCTCTGATCTACTAGGCGAGATGGCTTTCTCCTCCCACACCTGCTCAGTCTGGGGATCATTCCCCTTCCTTCCCACAACAGTTAACCTGGTGGACCCTGGACCCTGGTGAAGGAGACGCTGGGTTGGAAGGTGGTTGCCTGGGTAGCTGTACCTGAACATCCACTGGACAGGCCAGATTCCAAATGTGGACTTTGTTTCCTGTGAAAGCAAGAGAATCCTGACACGGAACAATGAAAGGGGCAGGGATGTCAGACAGGCCCCAGTGAATTTTAACTCTGCACCTTCACTGATTAAACCGAACACATCGTCCTTGGTTCCAGAGCAGGTCATCTGCTTCCCTTCGCTGGATTCTAGGACTTTCCCTCCTGCCCACGGCTTCCCATTGAGACTCATCAGGTCACCTCCCCATTTTTATTCAAGTGTAAACTTGACTACACAGCATGGTCCTCTGCTGGTAGCTCCTGGTGAGGGGGTCGAGGGAGCAGCAGGGCCCATTCAGTCTCTTCACTGATCAGAGCAGTTTGGGGCCCAGCAGTCCAGGGTACTGGTGCTCACTCCATGGGAGTTGGCCACCTTGCCTTTGCTTGGGCCCCAGCCTTCCTGCTTCAGATGTGGCTCTGCCTGAGTTCTGCAGTCTGCTACCCAGAGAGACATTGGCTGCCACGCCCCCCCCCCCCCCCCCCGACTCAGTGGGAGCCAACCTTTCTTATCTCATCCCAGCTCTGCCACGTATGAGTGATGGGATCCAGGCTCCAAAGTGGAGGAAGTGTCCACCTCTGGGGTAAAGGGGAAAATTAAATGAAAGGATGTAAGTAAAGCATGCGATCTGGTTGTCAAAAATGGGGTTAAGTAGGGACTTCTCTGGTAGTCTAGTGGTTAGGATTCAGCAGTTTCACTGCTGTGACCCTGGTTTCAATCCTTGATTGGGGAACTAAGATCCCACAAGGCACGCAGTGGCCAAAAAATAAAATGGGATTAAGTAAAATTGGCGCAATATAAGTTGCCCCCTCTTGTCGCTGTTGTAAGGACTATGAGAAATTGTTGATTCTCAATAAATAATGGCTCTCACTGGCACTAATGGAAAAGAACCTGCTTGCCAGTGGAGGAGACACGAGACCCATGTTCGATCCCTAGGTCGGGAAGATCCTCTGGAGAAGAGTATGGCAACCCACTCTGGTATTCTTGCCTGGAGTATCCCATGGACAGAGGAGCCTGGTGTGGGCTACAGCACATAGGGTGGCAGAGTTGGACATGACTGAAGTGACTTAACACGCAGACAAACATACTCATTATCATCATACTAATAGCACTAGTATGGATGATAGCAAAAGAACCACCAGTGTCGGATATATAATAGAATCACAGTGGATTATGGCTGTTAGTATTAATTTTTTAAAAGAGATTGCCAGAAAGCCCCTTAAATCTCATAAACACAAGATAATTGCTATTTACTTACTGTCCCAGTGAAGAACAGAAAAGGACCTGCAGCCAGATGCATTAATTGTTTACATAGTTGCATCATGAATCTGCTTTCAAGTAACTTCCTGACACTTAAAATATTCCAGCTGACTCAAGCTGCTGATTTCTCTTAAGGGAAAAAAGTTAACTCTGGTTATAGGGTCATTATTGAGAGGAAGCAAATCTTCAAATGGTTCAGTCTGGGCTGTTTGTTACTGATAAACATATTTTGAGGATAAAGCCACTCCCCACCCCTCCATTACCACATCTATAATTGGCATATTTTACAATAGAATGTTCTTATCAACTCATTATTCCTAGGAAGAATGCCAACACCAAGCCTGAATTTCTCTCTCCAGTTTTCTGTTCCTTTAATAAACACCGAGTTAACAAATTGTGAGTGCCATGTTAAATAATATTCACATTCCTCCTCTATGAAACAAGTCCTATTGCTTCAGGCTTAAGTTTCTCTTGCTAGCAGCAGTAATAGTTGTGGTTGAAATTTCCATTGTAAGCTGTACTTTTAGTTTGTGGTGCCATGAAAGAGCTTTAGCTCATTCTGTTGGAATAACCACTGGTTGAGGGGGAAATGGCTTTATGTAAAGACTATCTGCTCAGCCCAGAGCAAATTCTAAATTTGGTACCTTGTCAATTATATGTGAGCCAGACTGAAGGAGTCTGATTCCTATAGGAATTGTAAAAGCACTAATGTTCTATTCTCCTTCTGGATTTAGTCCCTCTAGCGTCCCCAGGCTCCTATTCTTTTCCAGCTGTTCTTTTTCTATCACTAAACAGCCCAGGATCTCTCCCTTAAAACAAATTTTAAAAGGCTTTTTCTTTGTCCTAAGTCTCCTCTCTTAACCTCATCTGTTTCTCCTCTATTTTATTAGCAAACCCTTCCAACATATGTTATCTACTTCTGCCTTTTCCACTCCTACCCAGACATCCCCTGGCAAACTAGCTTCTTCTAAACTGCTTTATTATACCTTTGCAGAATAGCAGATACTGGACGAAGTTCTCAGATTTCATGAGCTTTAATTCTTACATCTGTCCAATAAAGTAGAATCATCACAATTTTACAAACAGGAAAGCTGAGGTTTAGAGATACTGGGTTGACCAAAAAGATCATTTGGGTCTTTCTGTAAGGTGTTACGTATTAGCCACCCCAGTATTTGTTATCTTGCTGAAGATCACGTGGCTGCTTTGTGGTGGAGCTGGGACTTAACCCCATGTTCCCTGACTCCAGAACCTGGGTACTTTCTAGTTTGCTGCCTTCGGACGCTGCTGGGGGCAACTTCTTGCCAAATCTAGTGGCGAGCTCTCAGAAAGGCTTCTGAGTTCTTCTAGATTTATTTGGAGGCCCCTCCAAATAGAAGACCCCTCCGCAGATATAACTTCTGACTCTCAGCCTGCTTCTAGCTAGTCCTCTGACTCCATTCTTTTCCTTCTGTCGATTCTGTATTATGTCCCAATTAGTCTTCAGAGCTTGCTGTAGCTCCCCATTGTTTGGTGCAGAGGTTCTTACCTGGGGGTGAATACAGGGGAGGGAATATCTCAGAATCATCTAGAAAACTCATTGTCTTGTAGGGTGCCCCCTCCAGAAATTTTAATTTTAATTTGGCAGCTCCAGATATGTAGATGTTTTTAAAGCATTGGTCGTGACTCTGAGGTACCCTTCTGGTTGAGACCTAGGCTAACACCATCTGCTTTAGAACTGTACCGGGATCCATCTGTCAATCTGTCTCTACTTTGTCGTCATTTTATCCACTTGGGGTCCAGCATGGACCCCTTGCCCTAGCCCATGACACTCCTTTCTCATCCAGGCTGCCACCGTTTTGCCTCCTCTATGCTCTTCTCAATCCAGCTCATATCTGTCCTTTGAGACCAGCCTAATCATGGCTCCCCTCCACCTAGAAGCCTTTTTCCTCTCTCCTTTGAACCCGACTGACTTCTAGAGACTTTCATAATCATCCTCAAACTAGCTTGTGTGAAGATGCCCTATCTCCCCAGTAAAAGCACAAGCAGAATCTCATACTGGGAAAAACACATAATTTGGGGTCAGACCGACCTGAGTTCTAATCTAAGTTTTGCCACTTACTAAGAATGTAATGACCTTAGACATTCCTCCACTTTTGTCAACCTCATTTTCTTCATCTGCAAATGAGGCGAATAATACTTCCTCATAGAGTTGCTGTGAATACACAAGGAGATATGGAAGGGACTGGTGCAATGAGTCAGACATAGCTGTTGCCCAGGCATGGAGGCAGTGATCAGGTTTAAGACATGTCGGGAGTTGTTTCAGGGTCGAACACAGTGCACAGTGGCTGCTGACCAAGTCCTTGTTTGGTTTTCTGGGCCTTTATGCTGACTAGATTTTCTTCATGCTTCTAGTTCTAGTGCAGTGTCTCTGTGTTCCATTGAGACATGGGAATTCTTTCCCCGTGTATGCCTAGCTCAGCAAACCTGGTTGGGAAAGATGGACCTCTTATAGTATATAAGGGAATAGAGAACAGTGATTTCTTTGTTTAAATAGTAAAATCCTTTTTGAGGATTCATTTAAAGGAATAAAAATAGCCGAGAGTCAAGACTGCACTGTTGGGAAATTGCCAACCACCAGTTACAGCTTCTCTTTGTGTCTCTCATTTTAGATTCCTAGAGAGAGTGTCTGGTTGGCTCAGCTAGTCCATGATGTGGCTTCTGTTTGAGTCCAATTGGCTGTGACCGGTCCACTTGTCACCAGCCCGCTCATCAAGTCTGGGTCTGGAAGTGGGTACAGATTCAATCTGGCTGATGTGTCTGGTAGAGATGCCATGGATGCTCATGATTGGAGGACAGTGGCCTCAGAAACCTACATTAGCAAAGAACACTTGTATAAGAAGGGCCAGAAGAAGGGTGTCCCACGGAATGAGTCATCTGAACCTCTACAGGGCTGTCTCGTACTCAGAAGGTGGAAGGGGAAGGACTCATAACTGTGACCCTACCAGTCATGGGGAAGGGCTGTCCTAGGTTGGTCTCCACCCCCACTCAGCCCTGCAACAAGGATTTGGGAGCGAATAATTTATTTGCGGGGCTTCCCCAGTGGCTCAGCGGTAAAGAATCCGCCGGCAGTACTGGAGCCACAGGAGACACAGGTTTGACCCCTGGGTCAGGAAGATCCTCTGAAGGCGGGCATAGCAACCCACTCCAGTATTCTTGCTTGGAGACTCCCCATGAACAGAAGATTCTGACGGACTACAGTTCATAGGGTTGCAAAGTCACACACAACTGAAGCGAATTAGCGTGCATGTAATTTATTTGTGATGTGATCCCAGAAACACTAGGAGGAAGTAGGGGAGTGAGATGGAAAAGGAAGAAGGCAATAAAGGCTGTGCTGATGAGCAGGTGACTTCTAGGGACATCTAGGGTTCCACCTCTCTGAGGTCCTCGGAGAGAGAGAAACTGTCCCCCTGGGCGGAGAGGGCACTGGGGAACTCACCCTCACAGGCTGTTCTTCCCGGATTGAGAGTTGTCCCTGGGGTGTTCACTACCTAATACATGGCCCTGTGCAGACTGAACACGCTTCTGTAGTCAGAGAATGCTCTCAGAGAAACAGAGTTGGTTGCTGGCATGTAAGGGAATTGCATGTGAGTCACCTCCTGATTAGGACATGGGGAGATGGGAGTGGCGCCAAGAGCATCTCTCACGGGTCAAGATTGCTCAATGGGGGCATTCTCAAACCCCAACGCTGCCCTTCCCTGGGAATCTTGGGAAGTTACCTAGTCGTCCTGAGCCTCAGTTGCCCCACTTGTGAAACGGGGACATTAACACCCACCCCATAGGGAGACTGCGAGATGTAAGACGATAATATATGAAAAGATTTAGAACAATGTCTTGTTCTACTCAGTTCTCAGTGGTACTTATCAGCAGCACCATTGTTATTGCAGAAGAGGAAAAGAGAAGTAGTTCTTTTTTCTAATGGACTCTGATATGTATCAGGAGAAAGCAATATTGCTCATTAAATTCATTGATTTAATTAGATGGAAGCCGAAGAGGCTGCTGCTAAAACATCATCAGAAGTGAACCTAGCACACTTACCTCCCAGCTACCACAACGAGACCAACACAGAAACCAAGGTGGGAAATAATACCATCCATGTCCACCGAGAAATTCACAAGGTAAGTTGTGGCCAGCACTTCCTCCTTTTTTCAGTGCCCAGTCCCATCAGCGGATTAAGCTGTGACCTGTGTCCTCTTTCAGAGAGTCTGGTGTGCAGATGTTTACATATTTGATACACAAGTCAAAAATACACATAAAGATGGTAAAATACAGGTTAAAAGCCAGAGGGAGTGAGGGAGATTATTTAAAGGGGAAAGATATGTATCAAAAACATAAATTGCTTTTGCATTGGAGCAATAAATTTAACTCTAGTCTTCCTGCCAGTCCAATTGCAAAGGAATGTTCAGGGATTTTTATTACTTGAAAGAAGGAAGCAAATAAGTGTTTAGAGAAAGACTTTCCCAGTACTGAATTTGAGGAATTTATCCCACAGGTTTTTATCTGTGATTCAGTAGGGAGTTGAAATAGAGTTCATGTTGCGCTGAATAGATCTTTACCATCTCCTTAGGAGGAGCTCAGATGTGATATACTCAAGTCTTCAGAATGGAAAACCTGTATTGCCACAAGATGAAACATTCGTCTGTTTGCTGGCTATCCATTCAAAATTTTACAGTGGCCTGTTTTCCAGCCTACCATATGTCTAAGTGTCTCTTGGTCCAAAATCTTGCTTGAGGAGTGAGCAGGTTTGTTCTCAGTCTGACTTGAGGAAGAAAACATTCAAAGGAAGGTGGCCTTCACTTGCCCCCAGCATGAGATGTCTCCAGGGTGACTTAGGTAGGGCTTTGAGATCAAATCATGTGGCCTGTTTTCTCTTAAAGAGAGTCTGGTGTGCAGATGTTGGGTCATTGTTAGAGGCTGTAAAGTTGACCTCTGATCTCATCTCAAGGCCTATGCATAAGGCCATGAAGATTCTCACAAAAGAGCCTTGCTTTTGTTCAAGTGTCCAGGTAATGACTGAGCTGACACAATAGCATTTCTGTGCCAGAGCGGATTAAAGGGTCAATTCTCATGGGCCATTGCCTTGACTATAAAGTAGCCTTTGTGTGGCTCTAGTCCCACTGCGCACTCACAGCCCCAGCTCCAGAGCACACCCCCCACAGAAATGAATGAGCCACCTGCCAAACAGAATCCTTTAGCATTGCTCATCTGAAGACTGGAGAATTCCAGTCTTTGTCTCCAAAAGTGATTATTTTATTCCTGTCAAAACCAATATTCAGTCATCCTTTCTGACAATAATTAGCCAATAGGTTTCGCTGCTGCTTAAATTTGCTCCTTGTGAATGTCAGAATACCCAAGTATGTGTCCTGCTAGTAACAAGTATGATTTTCAACTTTGTGACCCTCACTAACCATGTTTAAGAAATAGGAAAATCAGCATCTGTAATACCTTATGGTGTCGTGGGGGCCAAAAGAGTTAAAGTGTGTGAGAGATGTTGTAAACAGTAAAGCATTATGCAGCAGCAAATTTTTCTTACTGTTAATATTGCCATTGTTCTTATGGTGAAGTTATGGCATCCGCATGGTATAGTAGTTCTTGAGTGGGTTCCATGGAGCTCCTGTCCTGCATGATGCTTTATAAAAGAAGAGCTCAGTGGTGAAACAGGTTTGGAAAACATTGTACATATTTCTCTTCCTAGGGATACAAAAATGCACCTTAGTGTAATCAAACCTCAGAGAAGTCCCTGGATCTTTACATACAGGACTGTATAATTTTAAAAATATATAGCATTGGTTAATCTTGTGAAAATCTGGTATAAAAGGAAGAAGACATCATTTCTTTGCTGGAGAGAGGAATTATTTACATAAAAAATTTTAAAGTATATTGGTGAAGACATGATCCTTATGCCTCAGAACTGGAATTAGACCTGGAATTTGATCCACTGTTGCACATTAGGCTAAGAGTTTCCACTTTGTTTTGGCTGCGGACGCCTGTGATATTAGAGCTGGCAGGAACTTTAAAGATGACCTAGAAATGAGAAAACTGTGAATCAGAGAACAGAAACGATTTGTTCCAGGTTACATACTAGACGGTCGTTGGTCTCTGAGCCAGGGGTCAAAGAACACGGATCCCCTAGCTCCTGAGGTTCTCTCTGTTCTTTTATCACCAACATGAGGGTTAGACCTGGCCTTGGATGGGGCGAGAGTGGCCTGAGTTTCAATCAGGCTTCCAATCAGGCTTCTAAGGCTCAGCTTTGAGGTGCCCACTCCTGGTTACAGAAGCCAGGCAGACAATAGCGAAAGGAATAGGGGGCCAGGCCTTCTCTCAGCATACTTAAGCACTTCTTTTTTTTTTTTTTTAACTTTTTATTTGTCCTGGAGTATAGCCAGTTAACAGTGTTGTGATAGATTCAGGTGGACAGCAGAGGGACTCAGCTATACATGCACCTGTATCCATTCTCCCCCAAGTTCCCCTCCCATCAAGGCTGCCACATAATTAAGCACTTTCTTGAGGAAACAAAACAGTTCCCCAGAATCAGAAGGGGCTGCTGTAGCTAAAACCTGCTTCCTTCACTACCCAGGCCTGTAGTTGTTGAAAAGAAAGTTGACTTGGAGCTTGAATAAGCCCCAAGAATGATAAAAATAGCTAGTGTTAAATGTTTGCGTGCTTTACACAGACTTCCTCAGTCCTCCCCTTGGCAGCCCCATGCTGTAGACTCTGCTCTGTCTCTTAATCACTGTTCTGATGCTGCTGGTGGAGTTCAGAAACATAGGGAGGAGCGGGCATTCTGTCTACTTTGACAGATGCTGCTGCTTCAGAAAATAGAAAGCAGCAAAAAACCAACAACTTGTGGGATTTGTCCAGAATCCCTTCTGTTTCACACTCACTGTCCCTGTTCTCCTGTAGATCACAAACAACCGGACTGGACAGATGGTCTTTTCAGAGACAGTCATTACGTCGATGGGAGATGAAGAAGGCAAAAGGAGCCACGTGAGTTGTCATCTTCCTTGCACTCACATCCCGATGCACACATTCCCTTGCTAAGCCTGCCAAAGGTGACCCAGACTTCAGACCGTGGGCAGAAAGGAGGGAGCTTCCGTGCGCCTCTCCTGCCTTGTATCTGCCTAGATTCCCCAATTCCTACATTTCTGGCCAGACAGATGCAGTCCAGTAACAGGCTCTGCTTCTATCACTTTGCCTCAGAAATGGCAGGACATGGCAAATTCGGTTTTCATTTGCACGGCTGCTCTCGACCTTGAAAGGGGAACACTGAAGTGTGGGGTGTATTGGTTGGGGGTTTCTGGTAACAAGACCCAGTGCCTCTAACCTGAAAATCCCCTAAAGCCGCTGGCCAGACCCACACCCTTTCTGATCCCAGGTCTGGTCTGGCAGTTTGAGAGCAAGAAAACTTCCAGTGAAACCCAGTGGCCCAAGAGAAAGGCATCCTTCTGCTCCAGGCTTCACCCTTGGGCCCCTTATGCTTGCACTTGCTACTCAGTAGCCTGTTGCTTAGTCCGGAGGTGGGCTGCATTTTAGAGAATTATAGATTCTGAATGATGAGAGGGGTGTCATTTCACAGAAGGAAGGCCTGGCACAGGTTGGAGGGTGACCCAGGATGTCACTGGTCTCCAGACTTCCAGATCAGAGGTGACTCTGCTGCACCTTATCTTCACAAAGAGGTGGCTGGTTTCAGATGCAGAGGCCTGGTGAGGAGCAGACGGAGTGGCTGCCATGTGATTCAAGTCGATTGTATGAAGCGCCTCCTCTGTGGGGCTGGAAATGGCCAGCCTCTCTGTGCCCAGGAGCCTTATGCAAACTTCCCACCACATGTTCCTCCCTCTGCGGTGCCTAATGCATCCCCAGCCTTCCGAGGGGATCAGGGATAAAACCTGACCCCTTGTGACCTTATCATAAGAAGAGAAGCAGTGTACCCATAACCACTAGGGAGGTGGTGTTACTGTGGTTGGTAGTCAATGGGTTCTTTTTAAAAAAAATTTTTTTATTTACTTATTTTTATTGAAGTATAGTTGATTTTCAATATTGTGTTCGTTTCTGGTATATAACTAAGTGATTCAGTTATACGCACATATATATGTATTCTTTTTCATATTATTTTCCATTAAGGTGTATTACAGGATGTTGAATATAGTTCCTTGTATTATACAGTAGGACCTTGTTGTTTGTCTTTTTATATAATAGTTTGTATCTGCTGACCCCAGACTCCTAATTTATCCCTCCCCACCCCCTTTCTCCTTTCTATGACTGTGAATCTGTTTCTGTTTTATAAATAAGTTCATTTGTATCATATTTTAGATTCCACATATAAGTGATATCATATGGTATTTGTCTTTCTCTTTCTGACTCCTCTTAGTATGATAATCTCTAGTTGCCTCCATGTTACTGCAAATGGCATTATTTTATTCTTTTTTTGGCTGAGGGTGGTGTCTTGTAACTTTGATTTGCATTTCTCTAAGAATTAGTGATGTTGAACATGTGCCTCTTGGCCATCTGTTTATCTTCTTTGGAGAAATGTCTTGTTAGGTCTTCTGCCGTTTTTTTATTGAGTTATTTTTTATTATTAAATTATGTGAACTTTTTGTAAATTTAAAAAAGTAAGCCTTTGTTGATCACATCGTTGGCAAATATTTTCTCCTAGTCCATAGGTTGTCTTTTCATTTTGTTTATGGTTTCCTTTGCTGTGCAAAAGCTTGCAAGTTTAAATCCCACTTATTTATTTTTGCTTTTATTTCCATTGCCCTGGGAGACTGAGCTAAGAAAACATTGGTACAGTTTATGTCAGAGAATGTTTTGCCTGTATTCTCTTGTAGGAATTTTATGGTCGTGTCTTATGTCTAAGTCTTAAGCCATCTTGAGATTATTTTTATGGTGTGAGAGTATGCTCTTACTTTACTGATTTACATGCAGTTGTCCAGCTGCCCCAACACCACTTGCTGTCCTTCCCCCACTGTCCCCCATTGTATGTTCTTGTCTCCTTTGTTGAAGATTAACTTCAGTGGGTATGCTTTCATTATGTTGAGATATGTTCCTTCTATACCCACTTTGGTAAGAGTTTTTTTATTATGAATGGATGTTGAATTTTATCAAATACTTTTTTGCATCTGTTGAGATGATCATGAGGTTTTTGTCTTTTCTTTTGTTGATATGGTATATCACATAGATTGATTTGTGATGCTGAGCCGTCCTTATGACTGTAGGATGAATCCGACTTGATCATGATGTAAGATCTTTTTATGTGTTTTTGGATTTGGTCTGGTAATATTTTGTTGAGAAGTTTTGCGTCTATATTCATCAAAGATATCAGCCTGTAATTTTCTTTTTTGGTATTGTCTTTGTCCGATTTTGATATCAGGGTGTTGGTAACTTCATAAAATGACTTTAGGGCTATTCTCTTCAGTCTTTTGAAAGAGTTTGAGAAGGATCGGTGTAAGTTCTCTGTATGCTTGATAGAACTCCCCAGTGAAGCCATCTGGTCCTGCACTTTTGTTTGCAGGAAGGTGGTTTTTGTTTTTTTTAAATACAGATTCTATTTCATTTCTAGTGCTCAGTCTGTTCAAATTATCTGTTTCTTTTCAATTCAGTTCTGGTGGCTTTGTTTCTCAGAACTTGTCTATTTCTTCTAAGTTGTCCAATTTGTTGGCATATAATTGTTCATAGTATTCTCTTTTTTTAATTTTTAATTTTTTTATTTTTCCATTTATTTTTATTAGTTGGAGGCTAATTACTTTACAATATTGTAGTGGTTTTTGTCATACATTGACATGAATCAGCCATGGATTTACATGTGTGCCCCATCCCAATCCCCCCTCCCACGCCCCTCCCCACCCCATCCCTCTGGGTCTTCCCAGTGCACCAGGCCCGAGCACTTGTCTCATGCATCCAACCTGGGCTGGTGATCTGTTTCACCCTTGATAGTATACTTGTTTCAATGCTGTTCTCTCTGAACATCCCACTCTCGCCTTCTCCCACAGAGTCTAATGTTCATAGTATTCTCTTATGGTCTTTGTATTTCTGTAACATCAATTGTGATTTCACATCTTTCACTTCTTATTTTGTTTATTTGGGTTCTTTCTCTTTTCATCTTGGCAGGTCTGGCCAGAGTTTTGTTGATTTTGCTTACCCTTTCAAAGAACTAGCTCTTGGTTTTATTGATTTTTTTTCTATTTTTAAAAAATTTCTCTTTTATTTCCTCTCTAGTCTTTATTATTTTCTTCCTTCTGCTGACTTGATGGGTTCTTTTTGCTTGTTTTTGACACAGTACTCAGACATTTACTGCAGGCAGGGGGAGTCCAGTCAGCTTTGTATGATAGTACTGACCCCCCATTCAAGGGACCTGGGAGCTGATGGGGGGCAAGCCATGTGGTGAAATGGAAAGAGACCCAGTGTCACAGGCTGGAAGCTTGAGTTTGTCACTTACAAACTAGGTCACCTCATTTCCCCCATCTTTTAATGAGGCAGTGATTTTCACCATCTCTCCCAACTCTGAAAGTACAGAAGCCTGTGAAGCAAAGATAGGATTGACCAAGGTCAGGAGAGAGGAGAGGCCAGCTTTTGAAGGTGGGAGAAATGAGAGAAAGAAAGAGAATAGGAAAAAAAAAGAAAAACCAGACAAAGAGATGGTACCAAGAGGGAAAAGCTTTAGAGTATTCCAGATTTAAGTCTCTGTGAGAGAACAGGGGAAACACAACTCTCAGGGATGTGGATTACAAAAAAAGCTTTTGTGTTCAAGAAAAAAAGGTGTATGATTGTATGATTGCATAGTTTTGTTCTGGGAAGCCTCCCAGAGCCCAGAGGGCAGCAGCACTGCTGTGAGCATCTTTGTAACTGCTGGAGGCCCTGATATACATCCCAAGCTCCCTGCTCTGCCCTCCAAGTAAGGCAGTTGTGTCAGGCTTGGAGCACTATGGCAGGGGGAACCAAGCTCTGAGAATGGCCAGTCGGTGAGAGACAAGATCTCAAAGATGCCAAGAGTGGACGTGGGTCAGGGAGCAGCGCCTGCACTTGTGTGCTATAGCCCCCAAGTTTGTGCCAGTTTTCCAGGGTCTGCACAGCCTGTGTGTCCCTGCTCTGGGCTCAGCTGGGGGGCCCAGAATTCCCAGGGCTGCTTTTGCAAGTTCACATGTTGATTGTGAGATGGAGGACCTGCAGGTACACCCCTGTGCGGTGCATAACCTGAACCCCTGTGTATGATGGTCCTGAGAATTCAGGAGGGTGACGGGAGGAGACACATCCAAGAAACCCAGAAGGTGGAGAATCACGGAGTTTTTCCAGATTCCTGCACAGGCCCTTGGGTTCTTAACTCAGCAAGTTTTTCTATGAGAATAAACTCCAATTTGAGTAGGAGAGTGACCCAGGGCATCTGATGCTTGACTGGCCGGTGCCTTCTGAATTGCATGGGGTCTTGAGAGAACAGACTGGAGACTTTACAAGGCGCCTGTGAAAGGGAGGTCATGTGGCAAGAACAATGGTATGTTACTGCAGAGCCTCGCTTGCTGTCGAGTGTCTTGCCAAGAGTCAGAGAAACAAGGTCTGGTTTCAGATGCCCACAGAATTCTTGCGTTTGAATTCTCTTTGTGTCTGAGTGGGAAGCCATAAAGACTAGATTGCCTTCAGAGGCATAAGAATGGCTGAACATCGTCACCATTGTCCCATTCCATAGTCTGGCAATTTAATGGTTTTTACCGTTGGCTCTGGAAAATGCGTTATGTGCCGATGAAGCATTCCCTGGGATGGAAAAGGGAGGCTTGCCTCTCAAAAGGACAAAAAATCGTAAGCTGTTCAAACCTTAAACTACTATAAATAGGGGCTGAATTCTCAGGATTTAAAACTCCCAGATGAATTCAATTAAACATAACCACCAAACACCCCATATTTTCCTTTCTTCAGATGCTGGGATGTGTATTCATACATATGGTAACCCGAGCAGGCCCATGGAAAGTCACAGACAGTAACACTATATGCCCGTCTAGAAA